GCATACATTTTTAGTTCATTCAAAACAAGCTTCATACCATTCTCTTTATATCTAAGTTAAACTCTCTTGACTTAATTTAGAGGACAGCTCTGACACCACATGGTCAAGAAGAGTGTGTTGTCCTCTGGGGAAGAACTCCTTATATCCTGGAGAACTGTCACTACAAAGCACTCCACAGTCTTCTCAACTTCCAACCAACCCCTTTCACTTCCTTACATGCAGAATAATTTCTAACTAAAACCCATCAGTTAAGTAATTCTTCTCCAATTTCTTCATGTTTCTCCCGAATCGGAAAGCCTAGAACTTGAGTCAGCATGTTGGCAATTTGGCCATATTGGGACTAGAGTCTGCACTTCCCCATTCCAGAACCACACTTAGTTTACAGGCAGCAGTGCCTGACTGGCTCATGGCACCTGATGACACTAAACCTGAGCAGGTGAGTCTCTGAGCACTTCTTCAGATCAAATGTCCACAAAGGTTTTTCTACATTCTCAGGAAACTCTCCTTTTTACTCAAGGTTTGAACACTTGAGAACAACTAAACACGCTTTCTCTTATATCAATACTCTTAAAACTTTCCAAAAAGGAGGTAGTATCAACTCTGATAGAATTCATTTCATTAAGATCTATTAAGAGAAACAGCGATAAATAAATGGTCCTGAATAGAACATTCTAGTCAAACAGTTTGATGAGTTTTGATTGTGGCATTATTAGATCATTTAAAATTTTTTCCTATAAGGATACACCATGGATATATCATATGGGGGAAAAAAAAGTGTTGTCTGTTTTAAGAAGTGTTAGTAGTATAGTGCCACACCATTTAGCTTAGTTTTTCAGATCAAAGTTGAAATATGTACTCAAGTTGCCCTCTTTACCAACTCTTTTGATGGGACAAGGTGCTCTGTCCATGTATGAATAGCAGAGTTGGGAGTGAGGAGAGGTCTGTGTAGGGTTTATTAAGATGTGCACATACGCAGCAAGGCTTTGTATCTCCTCCAAACTCAGGGGGTAAAAGACAAGGATTTGGTTCTTATATCTCATTGGGGGTTTATTAAGATTCAATTTCCTTCATATACCAGGTTTATCTCTGTTTAGGTTCCCCAATAAGACTTCTTTTCTTTACAAATTCAGATTAGCTCCATGAGTCTATCCTTTTTAAAGTACCTAAAAATTGTTTTTAGCTTTTCTCTAATCTATCAGGATAAACTTCCCTAATCTATCAGTTATATGCAGTTTTTTCTTTCCTCTAACATTACAATTATTTTCACTAGAAAGAGAACAAATGTTAAATACATTTTTTCTTTTCTAAAGCATGATTGGGAGGGGAAATATTGAATAATTCTAGTATGTCAGGCTTTATGCTGTTACTTCATTAAAGACTTTTAAAACACCTTATGAGGTAGGTGTTATTTCCATTTCCCAGTTGAGGAAACAGAGATACAGTCTGGATAAGTGATTTTCTTAAGGCCACACAGTTAGCAGAGTTCCATCCAAACCCAGGCTAGAACCACAGCCTGTGCCAACTGCTCTGAGCTGTGTTAGACCAGCCGCATTCCCTCATCTTTAAGTGTTTCTGAAAATTCCACAAGTTGTGAAAAAATGATAGCTAGTTAGCCTGAAATGTCTTTTGGGTTATTAGTTTTCTCTTCTTGAATATATACTGGAGAATGCATGTTTATTTATTCTTTAATTCTCCCATACACGTGCTATATGATTTGTTTTTTACGGTTTGCTTTGCATTTTTCTTTGGAACAAATGAATGATTTTTTTTAAGACAATAAAAATACTTTTGCCTTTTCAGGATTATCTATCATTTGCTTTTGTTGTGGATCAAACAGAATAGAATGTTCTTTAACCTGTTTCCTCAAAGGTAAGAGGAGATAATACCATGCGTGCTTTCTAGTCCTGTTTGTCATTACAGACTATGCCTCCATTTGATTTTACGCCATCTACAAATAACCCTTTCCTACTCACTTATCTGATCTTCATGTACTAAGTCCTCTACTGCAAAAGGATAGTAAGGGTTTGGGGAAACTCACAATTCAATGTCCACACTGCACTATTAATTTAATCAATTCATTGGCTATCAGATGACTTTCACTTAATCTGATTGTAATTTCAACTTAAATAATACTTTACTTGAAAAGAGTTTTGACTCTCAGATAAGACCCTCTGTACAACCAGGATGTTGCACGGTTACTGACCAAGAGGTGTCAACAATTGGTACAATATTGTGTGAGCCCACCTAGCACTCCAGAGAATATCAACGTTTGAGGTCAATCCGTTCTTGTCTTTGAAGGAGGAGCAGAGTGAACAGTGCCTGAAGTACATGATGATATAGCACCATACTCTCTTTTCCCCTTGAAATCATGGTGAGGAATCTTCCTCAAATTTTGTGCAGGTGGAATGCTGAGTATAATACATTTAAAGGCATTAAAAGTACTTCTTCTGTTAGGGAGTCAAGACCTCCCTTCACAGTTATGCAACTTCAGCAAAAACAGGGACCCAAACAACGGCACATCACACTGGGAGCCAGTGAAGGAGACAAACTGAGAGCAGGTGCTCAGCAGCCCACTGAATGGCCCATTCAAAACTTCAACAACAGTCAGAGGGTAGCAGGGAGCCCAAGAGCCACCGTGATGGGCAAATCCAGCACTTCACGATTCAGTATAAGCTCATGCCCGGAAAGAAGGCACATGACAAAACTGATTTCCATAAACCTAGTGCATCATTTACTCTCAAAACATTATGTAAAAAGCACCTCTTCAGGAAAAACCGTGGTGAGAACTACTCATGCAACAAATGCTGATGTTTCCTCAATTTCAAATATCCCTGTGAGATGTTAATTATGAGCTAGAAAAAATATGTAAAAGCAGTTTCTCTTACTGCAGAACCAACTAATTATCTTTCATAACTCTTTTGAAAAGCAAATGTAGATGTAAAAGCTCAAGTGAAAAACATGCTAAATGCATTGTGTCTAGACTTTGCCAAGAAAATCAGGGAGTTTAAGTGCACGAAATCAAAAGATCTTCCTAAACCAGAACTTCAAGTCAACGTATAAAAAAATTCAGCCTCATATTTTAATGGATCTTGTCATTAGCATTTTATATTTATACAATCAGCTTTAAGGTGAATGTTCCTGTATATTTGAGGTATACATACATCTTACATGGTGAATAGCACCAACATAGTAAAAGTATAAACATAAAAAAATTGCTTTTTAGGCATCCCTTCTCTAAAAATGCTACACATTCCTTTAACAGTATCATAAGCAGACTATTGGAAAGCAGATCAAACACACAAAGATATCTGCACAATACCAGCAGAAAACCTTAAAAATGGGTGGGTCAAGGTAGCAGAAAATGAAGAGTAGGTGATTAATGGGTACCATGAGATAAGGGATGCCCAAAACATAAAGCAGGAAATTATGAGGGGCGGGGGTGAAATCCAGGACTGTCTGTACAATATATGCAGATTTTTTCAAATGTAAATTCTAATGTCAATGCCGCTTTTATGTGACTGCATAAAGGAAAGCATAACAAGGCAGCTCTACTTGTCTTTAAACACAAGCGCACAGAGAGTAAAGGATGTGAAAAGCCAATTCTTTGTGCCGCTACTTAATCAATTGCACTCAGTTCTACTCGATGATGCAGCCATGCTACAAAGACCACTCAGCAGTTAATGCATATAATGTTGGAAAAGCACTTTGAGGTCTTCCAAAGAAAGACAGGCTAAAAACCCAAAGGAGCGTGTTTTAGTACTCATTCCCAATAACTTAGCAGCATTATATAGGAAATGCCTGTGATCTAAAAAGAAATTAAGATAGTATTAATCTTTTTGTGCTAATTCTGATTATTCCATATGAAATCACTTCTTTCAAAAGTTAGAACTTGAAATCACAGTAGGGTTATCCTATTATGGAGAACTCTGGTCTGGTCTTGCCAGGATAACAATTATAGGCTGTAAGGAATAAATACGTTCTTCAAGTGATACAGCCTACATTTACAATCTGTCAAAGTGTAGAGCTGAGGAGGAGTTATGTGTTTTCAACTGTATACATCCATCACTAGCTATCACTCTTCCCACAGACAGCAAAAAGTCAACAATGAAACATAAAAGCTAAAAATAAGTGACTGAGCACTTGCTCAGAGGAGCCGCACCCTGGGCACAGTGTTAACAGGCACACACATTCCTTTCCCTTTTTTATTACTTCCAATTTAAAGTAGTTGACGTTAAGGGCTCAGGTCTAAGAAAAAAATAAATAAACATGCACTGCACACATATGTAAAAGTCAGTCAGAAGTAAAATTTCATGCTTATAACCATACAACACTGTTCTGAATGGCACATGTCCTGAATGCAATTAGGGACTAATATATGTTGCTGCAAATGCCATGAAAAATGACAATTATAGGCACATCAAATGCTTCAAGAAAAATTTAGTGTCATTGCATACAAGCTGAAAATATCTCTTCATTCACAGGTATTATAACACGTTCGTCTCTCAGAGGAATCGAATCAACATTATTAAAGACCCATTGTTTACAATTTACTACTCTCTAATGATGGAAAATACTGCATGAAAAAGAATATGGTACACATGCAAGCGTACATTCAAAATATATGCCTCAATCTATAATTGCATATAGAAAAAGTATAATCTAAAAGGAAAAACATTCGAGTCAGAAAAATCAATAAATCCATGACTTAAGTAGGTTTTTTGGTTTTCTTCTCATTCTGTAAGAATTTATTAGGTGAGAAAAAGAGCATAAAAACCTTGAAAGTTACAAGTTTGAAATCTTACATATTCAAAAGGAGACAAGTTGTCTTTCAACAGCAGTTTTTTAGCTTCAAAATGATTTATTTAACCAAACCTCATAGGAAACCACAATGTGTGTATATATATATATATATATATATATATATATATATATATACACACACACACACATACACACACACACACACATATATGTGTGTGTGTGTGTGAGAGAGAGAGAGAGCTAAAAAGAGGTATTAATACAAATTTGTTTTATAAGTGCAAGTTTTACATTTATTTGTTAGGTAAATAAATGAGGGGGTTTTTGATCAAGAGAAAAAGGTGAAATAGGGGACTATAGGGGACAGTTACATTCTTCTTTGAGCCTCAGTGTCTGACTCATTTCTGTATTTTGGAGTTTTTTGCACCATATTAAGAAAATTCTGATTCATACGCATAAGTGGTTCTACATAGTCACATTTAACAGCTTCCTTGCAATCTCAGGTTACTCTTCCAGCAAACAGAGAGAGCAGAAGCAGCTTTATTCCATAGCCTGGACCAAAGCTCAATAACCTATTAACACAAATTAACTCATCATCGCTGCCCACCACTAGGATAGCATTTTCCAGAGTGTTCACCGTATACGTAGGATTTTTTAAAATTGCAATACTTAAATCCAAATCAAACCTTTGAGAAACCCAAAGATTCCCCCACCCCCACAGATACATAAACTGCCCTTGGGGTTAGTAGAATCCATCCCTCTGTGAAAGTCTGTCTTAAAAAGCCTGCCAGCATACACTAAGCAGGTGTTAGCGGTCAACAACTAGGGCCACCAGGGCAGAGGCAGCATAGAAATGCTTGTTGGCAAACCTAGGATTCGAGCAAGGTGTGCCATCTGCAGACCTGCTGGCCTTTGGACTCTTTCATTTCCTCCCAATGGTCTTGTTCCTCCTCCCCACTGCTGTTTTGGCCCAGCGCAATCCAACCAATCATCTCTTTGCGCTTCATAGTGCGCCTGTTATAAACGGAAATCATCAATGTCACATCAGAGAGCTGAAAGAGGGCCACCTGGAAGACAAAGGTCTCCTTATAGACAGGATTGGGCTGGCCACGGCGAATGGACGTCTTGCAGCGTGACATTTCTTGACCCACAGAATTGAGGAGAAAGAGCTTTCCGTATGTATCTAAAGAAAGAAAAAAAAAAAAACAGTGGAAATGAGAAAATATCAGTGCTGTCCGTTTTGCTGGTCTCGATGTAATATTTCCAAAACTTGGGGCTGCAATTGTTTTCCTTTTTCACATACTGACTAACATCCTTAGGCCTGGTAGTTGCTGTAGGACTAACACAACTTACATGAATTATTAAGGAAACGGATTATTACCTTGAATGCATAATGTCTCATCAGCCCACTATCAGGCCCCTGTCTGGTGGTCATTAGAAGCTCTGCCTGGACAGGAGTGGATACATGCATAGGCATATGTGTGATGGTGTTTGTGGACATGAACGGTTCTTCATTTTGTATTTATGTAACGAGATAAATATATACAGCTTGCTCTCTGTGTGTTTTTCTTTTCATAGTGGAAATACTGCTTTATGTCTGAGCTAAAGAGCCTCTTCTCACTCTCTACATATCCTTTGGACCATCTCATCTACTCAGTGACAACTGGCAAATCTGGCTTCAACGACAACCACCAAGTCCGTGTCTCTGGCCTAGACTTGTCTCTCAAGCTCTAGGTCCAGCTGAATACCACATTTCTTCTCGTGGACCTCCCACACACATCTCACACTCAACATCTCCCCAACTCTTAAAAACATGCTGCTCTAGTGTTCCCCGTCTCTGTGAATGGTGGCATCAGTGATCCAAATCAGAAATCAGGACTACACTGTTGACAAGATGGCTTCCTCATCCTAGTTCAGTAAATCAGTCGCCAAGTTTTATTGACTCTACCGCCTAAATAGCTGCCAAATCCACCCACCTCTTTCCATCCCCAATGCCACTGAACTCTCAGTGTACACCATAAGCTCAGATCACCGGCATCTCTCACCTGCATCGCTACACATTTTTTCACTGCACTGCAGACACTGGCATGCCCAATCCCATTCATAGTCAGAGGGATCTTTGTCAAATGCACATCTACTCATGTCACTCTCACTCATAAGCAAAAACTAAACCTTCAATGCTTCCCACTTGTCTCAGGATAAAACTACTTTTCTTGGTATGAGCTAGATACTCGGGCCCTGTTATCTTCTAGTCTTATGATGCTGTTATCTTCTAGTCTTAGTCACTGCTGCCTTTAAACACTGCAATCCAGCTACTGAACTACCTCTATCCCTCCAATCCCACCTGCTTCTTCCCCTTTCACTTCTGCACAAGCTGTACATGCCCTGATATCCCAAGAGACAGCCACCTTCAGTGACTTCTCTGTATTAGTTCGGTTTGGACCTCACTTTATCCAGGAATCTTTGCTGACCACTTTCCCCTCCCCATCAGCCCTGGTTTAGGTAACCCTCCTGTGGGCGCCACCAAAATCAAGCATTAGCCTATCTCAGCACTTATCGCCCAATATTATCATTACCTGTGTACATGTCTGCAAGGCTGGCAGTTTCCCAGTGGTACAAAGAGGGGTTGCCTTGTTTACCATTGTACCCCGATGCCTGGGTCAGGGTCTAACATGTGGTAGACATTTAAGAAATATTAAATATTTTGTAATGAATGTTCATAACTAGCTAGGAGACTCAACTTTATTTTTCTTCTGGTGTCAAGTTTTCAAACACGCAAAATGAAACTAAAACCCTTGTTTTATAAACCCTGTAACTAGAATGCTATAAATAGAGACTAGCATTATATGTTTAGTCATTTATAGAAAAGAAAGAAAATATCCAAATTAATGACATAGTCTACTAGTTTTGCTAAAATTCCTAAATGAGTCATTACAAAAAACATTGTCTCCTAAGACAATTATATTGTTATGAGAGTCATTTAATGTATTTATTTCTTCATTGTTTTCTTAACTACAATTTTTACCACTAACTTATGTGTGTTCTATTCTTTCTTGAAAAACCAAATTTTAAGGTGTTTCCCAAATTGTGTCATTCTGTACATTCCGTTCAATGCAGGCTGAAAGCTGATTAGTGTTTACTGCTCACTTTCCCACCTAACCGCCAGTCAAACTTTTTAAAAGTGTAAAGTCAGATCTCTGTAATTTACTGTTCTCTCCAAGAGCATTGTAAGATAGGAAACAAATTACAACCTGCAGTTTTCTTTCTAAGTTGATCTTTTTCTATTCTGGTTTGATGTGTTATTTTATGCACTTATCTGCTGAGAAACACAAGGTGTGAAATTGCACTTCAGGTGGGAAAACACTTCCCTGTCTCAGAAACAGGGCTCTCCACTCTTCAAACTGCTCTCCAGAGAAAGCTGTCAGAAAACCGACAATGGGGGAGAGAATTTGCATTCCCGCAGCTGTACAGCAACCCGATTCCTGTAGGAAAAGTTCAATCCAGTCACCACGTTCCTCTGACAATTCCGCTGCCAGTTACTGTGGTGGGAATTGAGTTAAACTTGCAAACAAAGACCTGCTCATTTCACAAAGACAGCAATTCCAAGCTTTGTCCCGTCACAAGATTGTTTTCTAATTATGAGAAAGGCCACTTACTACTGAACCTCCATCACTGATGGTTAATTGTAAGTGACAAACAGGGACCATAATAATTTGATAAACAATCCAGTCTGAGGATATCTGACCAAAAGAAGGAAACACTGATTGTTCAAGCTCAAAAGGGAAACTTTATGAGTAGTCATAATGCGCTTGCTTTTTAACATCCAGAGCAGAGGCTCAGGAAATTCTACTATGCAGAATAGTGGACAGCACGGCTGGGGTCCTTTGGGGTTCAGTGATTTACTCTGATGAGCACCAGTCCAAATGGATAGAGAGAGGGCTTGGTAAACATACAACTCAACTGAGTTCTGTTTTAATTCTTTGGAACTGACACTACTTGTTACGAAACAACACTGAGCAATATTTATCTTCTGAGGATGATTCAGAGAGCCTCTCAGTGTCTCTAGCAACTCAAAGCCATCATCAAAAGGCTGTAGGGGTCATAATCCCTTGATAGTATTGGTTGTTGCTTTTCTGAGTCAGCCCTGCCAACGGCTTCACCCATCACTTCTCTCTCCATAAAGGAAGATACCCCACATACCAAAAAACTGGTAACAGTTCAGAAGTCCCCCTTATTTCAGCTACCTGTGGTCAACCATGGTCCAAAAATATTAAATGAACATTTCCACAAATAAACCATTCATAAGTTTTTCATTGCATGCCACTGTAAGGAGCATGATGAAATCTCGCGCCCTGCCGCTCCGTCCTATCAGGGAGGAGACTCACCCCTTTGCCCGGCATAGTCTACATATGCGCCCCACCCATTCATCAATTTAGTGTTCCAGTATTTAGTAAACCGCAATTCACTTATCCATTATTTTAATTGATGGACACCTGTTTATAACAAGAATTAAAAATATTTCAGTGAACTCTTTTCTATATTTTACATTGTACTAATACTTGAGAATTTATGACGTACCTGGGAGAGGATTACTAGCTCTTTATTTTAGATACAGAATCTTGGTTATATTTCCTGCTAATATCTTCTCCCTGCTTGTAGCTTATCCTTTTGCTTTGTTTATAGTGAATTGCCCAGTCAACTCAAGCCTGGTGGGACACCTACATACAGCCTTAATTTGATATTTGACCTGAATCACTGTCACTTGATTCACCTAAGAAGGCCTTTGTTACTTGGCCTTTGTTACTCAAAACCTTTTAAAATCTGTCTGACTGTTTGGAGGTCTGGAAGCAATCACTTTTTCCAACCACAAAAATGTCTGAATTTCTGTATTCTCTCTTTTTCCTTGGACACTGGTCAGTTGTTTCCCAAGCTTACCTTTCACCTCCCCACACCTCCCACATGAAGGCCAGTTGTACTGAATACTCACTTTGAACATTCTGCCTTTCACACTGTTTCCCTAAAGCAATAAACCATTAGGCATATGCTCCTCCTTCCACGCTACAGCAGATGGTGGCTTTACCATCATGGGGTACGGGTTATCGAGCTCCACTGCTCTAGGCTCTGATATCAGTTTCTTCATCACCTGGCACCGAACGTCTAGACCAGTGAGCATTCTTACTTTTTTTTTATTTTTTATTGTAACATTCCAGTTCAGGTTACCAATTACTATATCAGTCAGATTTTGTCAGAAAAAGAGAAAATACTCTAGGTATTTTGAGTCAGAACTTGTTTATTATAGGGTTTAAGCATAGGAAGCCTGGGGAGGAAAGGTCAGGAAGGCCCTCTTCACAAAATCCAGAGGTCCAGGCATCACAGGAAAGGTCCCAATATGGCCTGTGTACATGAAAGGGTGACTCTCACGAGGATGTCTGTACACCAGTGGAAAAACCCTGGCTTTGCAATCTGCTAATGCCTACACACGTGCCTGCAGCCGGGTCTGGGGAGCTATGGTGCCTCTTTCCTTCCATTTTCCAGCCTCATAAAAGTAGATTTCATCAGGGGACTCGAACTGCAATCTTGCTGGCAAGAGATTTAGGGAAATGTAGTTCTAGGGATTTATACCCCTTTGGTACAGGAAAGGGTTTAGAAAGGTGAAAATGGTATTGAATATCAACAACTAATGTATAGTAAAGAAGGGAACTTGCTTAATTTTGATAGTGGGCATTTTAAGAAATATATACTATCATCCTCAATTCAATTCTGAAATCCCTTTACAGTCAAGAACAAAGTAAGGTTCCCATCAGCACCACTCTTATTCAACATTAGACTGAACCTCAAGGCATTTCAGTAGCATAAGAAATAAAAATGTGAAGCTTGAAAGGAAGTAACAAAACTGTCATTATTTGTAGAAAAATGTGGTTGTCAACATTAAAAATACAAGAAAATCTATACATT